CTATCGGCGGCTGATTGCTGAGCTTTTTTTATGGATGCTCCCTTCCCATAAAACACCTGAAAAGCTTCTCTACGCGTTACAGCAAGTTTTCGACAAAATTCAAAAATAAAGATTTGTTCTGAGGAATTCATGAGTAAAATCGCTTAATTATGATAATAAGTGAGAGTTTAGTAAGGTTTTTTTCAGATGTATTATTGCTTAATTTTAATACAATCACATGGGCATAGATGTGCCGTTGTTACTGTGGTAAGCTCTAGGGATTCCCTCACATGCAGCCATTTTGATTATTTTTTCTTTATATTTATGCTGAGAAAAATGTGCCACTAACAGACTAGTACCACCGGCATATTCATATGTCAAAACCTGCTCTGTATTCGCTCTCAGTGAGAGGCAAAGATGTTTTGAAAGTGGCTGCAGTATTAGAAAATGCCAAACGAACTCCCAAGCACTGGCAACGCTGACAACGTCTCTTTCCTTCGAACGCTGCTTAGAAAGAAGCTGATGTTGGGTCTACCTTCCTCATACATGCCAGCAAAAATTTGCCAAGTGAACGAATGAATCGTACAGGGATTGGTTGCGGTACAGGTGGAACTGAAGGTTCCGACTCGTACATCTACACCGCAGTATTATCACTTCGCACTAGTTCTGCCCACCGGCTCTTTGCATGTATTTATATGGGAACATTTCCGTCGTATTGATAGATTAGCCTGTCAGTTTCTTCAAAAATATTAGCTTCATGATGTACTGTTTCTCTTGTCATACCTGCTATACTTCATGGCTAATCGCTGAACTTGAATCTTTGCCATGGCTTCGAACAGAAGAGATGCCACCCGCATCCGAAACAGTTTATCCGATAAATTTCGTTTGTTAAGTAGCGCAATAATAAAGCAATTCTATCAAAATTTTGCTAGATTTTTGCAGTAAGATGAAAATTTACCTGATCGGGAGTAAGCACAAGTGAAACAGTGAACTGCTTTTTGTGAGCTGGTCCGCTCTCATCCATTAGTTTATATTCGTGCTTGAGCTAAACCAAAAAAAAA